TTGCACGTTTTCAACGGAATCACTTGTTCGTTCAAGGAACAAAACAAGTTACCGATACTAAAGCGCATCCATAGTTATTTACCAGCTCGAGTGCGCCTGTGGCACAACGTATGTTGGTCGAACGCCGCGGCGCTTTTCCAAGCGCCAATGATCGTTGGCCACGTTGGATACACTTGGTGACATGGATCGGAGCCGACCTCAATGGCATTCTCACTGTGAGTTTCTTTGTCCCTCCCCATCCGGCTTAGCCTCCCCTCCAACCACGACCTCGTTTCTTAGCATACTATAATTTTGCATAATCAATTTTTTCACTGCATAGTAGCCAGCTGGTAGCTTTCCGGAACGATGCCCATCGGTTACTGGTAGCTCAGCTAGCATGCATCTGTTGCATGTTTCTTCTCTTTTTTGTTTTATGTATTGCGGCACAGTGGCTGAGGTGTTTTACACCTCTAGCTAACGTGTATAATGAATGAATGAATGGTTGCATCGAGATGAAACTGGTATCATTAGCAAGCCTATATTGTCGACATTGGACAGTAGATGGATTTAACGAGTGCGTTTAGAAGGGTGTACAAAGTTCCCCCGATCCGATAGAAAGGTCACCCCCTTCGTACACTTACGACGGCCGAAGCAATTTGCATTAGTATGATTGAACCGTCCTTTTGCTCGCAGAAGTCTAATCCATTCTCATGAACTTTTATGACCAACGAAAACGGAAGACGCTGAGATCACGTGCCTTAGTACAAACTCCGTAACACACTATTAACCCACTGACACAATCCTGATCATTTATCTCTCATTTCTGTCAGATTCCATCACTTCGGGTGTTTCCGTCCAACACCCATTTCCGTAAACCAAAATGCTTCAGATTACGTGTTGTTTCAGGAGAAAAAAAATCACCCTGAATTTGTTTATCAGATGCATGCATTTCTCGTTGATAACAAAGCAACTGACTTAACAACAATCCACTCATCATACAAAACAGACAAATCCAAAAGAATCTGTTTCGCCTCTCGGTACACTGACCTATCGAAGTTGCTCTCTATTCCTTATCGATACGCTCACGAGACCGGTTAATACCGGACAATGCTTGCATCCGCTATGCTAATTCTGCTTCGTGGACTATGGCATCAGGTGACAGTGTACAAACTCCGAGGCCAAGGTGAGAACGACTGCTTCGCGTGCGTTCAGTGTTGCACTCTCAGAATGCGGTGCGGGGCCAATAATCCAACAAATTTGCATCAGCGTGTTCTAACTGTGGCCTACGGCATCATGATCATTTCGGCTTCATAGACCTGTGACGAGCTGCGAGCATTTAAATTGGAAAGCCACTCCACTGATTTATAGAAACACAAGAAAAACGGCCGTAACCGCGAGTGCCGCAATTACAAATGGTCTACCAAGCGTCAGTGACACAAGGATTTCAACTGCACCGATTAGCTTTACTATGGTACGCGACAGTGCGCATCGATTGACCAAAGTCGGCTAATCTATCAGTATTGGATCACTCCTATCGAGAGTGACAACAATTTAGGCCTACCTCTTGATATGTGAATGCTGTTCGAACTTCCGCTTGGATAAATTCACGTTGTCTGAATGGAACAACAAATTTAAGGATTTTTAATGCATTCGTCCCAGAAGCTCACAAGGTACCTAGCTCAAAAACAATCCGGAAAAACACCAGACACGTTTCACCCTATTGGGGCTCGTCAGTGGTACGCATTCCGTCGCTCCACTACTGGGGATGGAACCCATGACCGCTGGAGGTTGATGCCAAGTAGCCAGCAGCTTATGCCACTGAGCCATGGGAGACGGCAGCTGGGCTGCATAATTTGTAAGCTAACTGGGATATAGCACTAACAATCTTCCACTGCCACGCATGTTACTACCCTTGCAAATGACAGTGGTTAGCTTCCAGGTCATGACTTCCACTCACTAGACGCTATATCCATAGCATTTGAGACTAGGAGAGGTTGCATGTTTTATTACATATATATTACTCACTCAAAAGTAATATAAAATTCAGCCTATCCTAGTTTGAAATGCTATGGATAGAACATCTAATGAGAGGAACTGATGGCCTCCGGAGGATAGCCACTGATCTCTGCTAATGTAGTAACCTGCATGGCACTGGAAGATAGGTCGTGCTATATCCCAGTTAGCTTGCAAATTATGCAGTCCAGCTGCCGTCCCCCATGGCTCAGTGGCTTAAGTTGCTAGTTTTATTTTACCGAAATTAATTCTTGAATTGCTTGCAACAACTTCCATGCTTCTTTTTGCATACTTTCTATTTCAGTCGTTTCGTTACATACATGCGGTCCAATCTTGTATAACAATGTGCGGGAGCGGGAAGCACGAATTGCAGTACGGGAATATTTACTTTTGTGTGAATAGTACGACTGATGAAAAACAAAACACAGAGTACTACCATAACGCTTGCGGGGATAATGATAAGATGTAGAAAATTAGCCGGTTTCCATATCATATCGACTATTCAGTGCTGGTATAATCGCTTTAAATATGGCATGGCCGAGTAGTGCTAGAATCTATCATGAGTCAGAAGAGTTGAGATGTGGACTCGGTTTCTCAACATGCTTCGAGTTTTTTGCGAACTTGAGAACCGCAAACTAATCTTGACCGATTAAAGGAAGGTGAGATGGGTGTAGAGTACAGAGGAGCCAATCCAGTCACTTTTACAAAGTTTTGTCCGCTAAGCAATCAACCAAGGAGATACATGACACGCACTTGGAAGAACTACGCAACTAATGAATCCCTTTACTAAAATATGCTTTCCTCGTGGAAAATCGCACTACGTTGGCTGTTTTATGTCAACATTTCCGCGCGTATTTTCAGCACTCTTCAAATTCGGGGGACCTGCTCTTGTGGATGATTTATACGAATTATTAATTAAACTGTGGGAGCAAGAAACTGCCCCACCGACTGGAGCCGCTCCGTCATAGTTCCAATTTTCAAGGGAGACGCACAATCGGAATGCAGCAGTCATAGAAGAACCAGTCTGATTTCAATCGCCTCCACATTGCTTGCCACTGTCATTCTTCCCATACTGACCGGCATTCGTGAAAGCCATGTTCGTGAAGAGCAAGTCGGGTTCGGCATGATTTAAAATATTGGTAGCTCGGGAGGCTTGCTCAGTTGTTGTGGAGTTCTCTGAGCTGGGTAACTTGATTGCAAACGGTTCGCCACCATTTTAGGTGGCATCTTCAGTGCGGGATTGATAGCAGTTAAGTTGCAGTAGCTGGTAGAAAGCAAACCCAATAATGGAATCCATTATGGATCCATTATTGGGTTTGCTTTCTACCAGCTATTGCTACTTAACTGCTATCAATTCCGCACTGAAGAAGCCACCTCGAATGGTGGCGAAACGTTTGCAATTAAGTTGCCCAGCTCGAAGAACTCCACAACAAGTGAGCAAGCCGGGTTTCGTCGAGACGGTGGCCGCATTGACCACATCTTCACTTTGCGTCAGTTGTTGGAGCACCGTCACATGTAATGGCGGCCCACAGTTGTCGTGTTCCTCGATATCAAAGGTGCATTTCATTCGGTGGATAGACGTGCACTTTGGGACTGTCTACTCAGGAAAGGTGTACGTGAGCAATAGGTAAATATTATCCGAGCATTATACGCGCGTAGCTCAGGCAGTGAGGGCTTGCGGCAAACTGCCGTCGCCCTTTTATATCTCCAGCGGTGTGAGACTAGGATGCCCGCTGTCATTTTTCCTCTTCAGCTTCGCTATTGACGAAGTAATATAAATCGCTTTTATAGAACACAACTTAGATGGTGTGGAGCTATTCCCAGGAAAACGATTTCTTAACTTGGGGTATGCTGACGATATTATCCTAATCTGTGACAGCCCACAAACGTGCCAAGCGGCACTGGACAGATTAGCACTAGCTGTCCGTCACTTCGGGCCTGACTTCGCACCCTCGAAGTGCAAAGCGTTCCTCCAAGCTTGGCTTGGACCGCCTCCTACGCTAACCGTTTGTGGAGATCAGCTAGAGGTCGTTCAAAAGTTCAAGTATATCAATATCCGTGGGATTTAAGATGAGATCACGAACCGTGTGGCGAAAGGCGCTTTTGCTAACGTTCGCCATTTATGTCGCCGGCGCGACATCACTCCCGCCCTGAAGGATAGAGTGTACAATGCAACGGTACGTTCGACCCTACTGTACGGTTGTGAGACCTGGCCCCTTAGATCAGCGGATATAAACAGGCGAGTTACGTTCGACCACCGGTGCCTTTGCAATTTAGCACATATCTGGTGCGAACACCGAGTTAGCAGCGAGCGTGTTCGACACCTTGTTTACGGCACAGGAAAAGGAAATGAACCGCTCAGCACCGTTATTTCACGCATCAGGCTCCGATGGCTGGGCCACGTGTTACGCATGCCAGCCCACCGACTCCCGCGACGTGTGTTGTTTGCGCGCCGGGGGTGTGGGTGGAAGAAGAGGAGGGGTGGCCAAGCGATGACTTGGTCGAGAGGAATGAAGGTCCTCTTTTTGAAGCTGGCCTCATTTGGAACATCTCGGCTGCCTAGTTGGGGTATGAAAGACGATGAACACGTTTGGCTGGATACACTTGCTGCTATGGCTAGGAGCCGACCTCAGGGGGGTTCGTGCTGTGACTTTCTTTGTCTGCCCCATCTCTATTAGCCTCCCCTCTAAGCACGATCTCACTATTTAGCCTCATATACTTTTGCATAGTAAGTTTTTTGTTGCGTGGTAGCCGACTGGTAGCTTACCGGAAGGATGCCCATCCGTTACCGGTAGCTCAGCTGGCTTGCACCTGTTGCATTTTATTCCCTTTTTTCTTTTATGTATCGCGGCACTCTAGCTGAAGTGTGTTTCGCCTCTAGCTAACGTGTATAATGATGATGCGTATTTTCAGAGATTTGTCAAGCTGGGCAAACGTGCCATAACACGTGCTTAGAAAACATGTTATTTCATACTAAGCTGACGCCCTCTTATCCGTCCTTCGAACAGGTTCCGATCCTCAGTCTTCTCGTTCCAGCGGACTTTGGAGCATTTCGAGACCCAAAAATCCAAGTTGTCGAGGTGATATCGGCGCGAAAATGCAAACTCGGAGTCCTGTTTCCGTCTATCAAGGCAAAACTGTACAGATTAAGTCAAAGGAGAGTTCACCTACTGGGTTCCTTGGTTCATCAACAAAGCAGAATTCTAAGCTTTTGTGTGTACCTCCAACAACAACAGCATATAGTCGTCTTTCTCCTACACGTCAGAACACCAATCACGAAGAGCTTACCAGGCTCTTACAAGTGTCCTCTAAAACTCTACAACAGCGTGGACGAATGTTTAAGCCGTGAGTGTGCGCTTCTTCTCTTTACCTCGTTTTCTGTTTATCAGTGAGAATTTTTTTAATGCGGCGAAAAGTGCTTGGTTTTCACGTCGAATACACTGGGGCGCGGAGGGGTGGAATTTTTATGCACAACCGAATACCCCTTTTTTCACGCAGCTTTGTCCAAAGCGGTTACATTCAAGTTGTTATCTGATCCCTAAAACCCAGCGTTTTCCATTTTATAGACCCCATGGCCAACTATTACTCTCATGTTTTGGTAACAGACGCTAGTTCAGGTTAATTCTGTTCCACTCAGTATGTATGACGTTGCAAGCGTCACACTGGTTTCTGCATTTGTTCACATTTACTTTCATCATCATGGGATCGCTTTCGAGACTGTCTCTTCGTGAATGATAGGAGCAGATTTTACCTCTATGTCACCACCAAGTCCCATTTGTATGGGTACTGCTACTATATGGCAGTTGCACTCAAAATGTACTCGCATTCCACAGTGCATACGACATGTTCGGTAACTCCATCAATGCACTCCATCCTCTTAACTGCTGCGTAGAATGTCTTGGAAGTATTTTCGATTATCCCAAGCGTCTTATGAGTGGTGAATGGTAGAGTAGGGCGTTTCCATGGACGCCAGCTAGATAGTTCAGTTGCGAAAACCAACCATGCATGATTAATACAGCTTAGGAAAGATAGTCTAATGGATTTCATACAGAGGAAAGTAGTTCTGTGCGAATTCTGTGAATTGACATAGATAGCATCCCTATGCTGGGAGCATGAGTAGACCGCTCTTAGGATGCCCTTAAAACACGCGGTTGGGAGCTCATGACCGCCCTACACACAGCTGCGCTGTGAGTGGTGGCGCATCCTACCTTAAGGGTTACCAGCTGTGATGTATGGTACAGTCACCGTTGCCGCTCAGACAACATGAGTATCTCTTTAATTCACAACCACATTCGTTGTCGCATAAAATAATCGGCTAGCTTGCACGATCACTAACTACAGCGGTAAATTTCGTCACACGGAGGCGTGAGTTTAGTAGGACGCGGAGCTACTAGTATTATTGGTCAGAAGTTGCTTTCTCCGTCTAGCTCTTCGTATGGGGGTGCAATTCCTAATTTAGTCATTCGGCCATAGGGAAATGTTTGTCTTTTTCTTCGTCATCCGATGTGGCCGCACTTTTCTAAATGCCAATATTTTCTGTCTTCTTATTACAGCGACATTTGCGAAAGTGTGGACAAGAGCAGCAGACTTACGATGCTGATGACAGCGAACGAACAGCTGACGTCATGGTCACACGAAGCTCGCTGGTTAGGTGACTCACACCGATTAACTCCTCCACCTCCAGTTCCATCATCGTGCACCGTTTCACGTCGGCCTTCCTCCGATATGCACTATAACCATTCGTTCAGACACAATCAAAAGCATTTTCCAACCCACAATGAACTCATGGAATCAGCACTGGAAATTACCATCGCTGGTTACGCCGCACAATTACACATGGGTGGACGTTTAGCTCCCCTGGATAGAGCATACACACCACCCGCATTGGGGTCCCCGACAAATAGAAATACTCTGAAAAATTGTGTCCCAATTTCCATCACCGATCATCATACTTCCAACAAAAACGTACGCTGGCCACGCAGTAGGCCCACTCAAAACTCCGCATCGCGTGCAACACACAGATCATCAACTCCGCGTGCTCATCAAATTTCGACCAGTTTTTGCACCTCCACCGCTGACCAGCCAGTTGTGAGGGGTTGTACTTTGCCTCCGCTTTATACCAGCGCCTGTCATCATCCACCTGCGGATCCCAACAACACAGCTTCTCCTGTTAGCACTAAATTGACGCGCAGTTCGATTGTAACACCAGATTCTACTGTAAATGCTACACAATCCATCTCGAAACAAGTGCGTCGCCCGCAAAGTCAAAGTAGCCCCACGTCACGCAGCAATGATCCACGTATCGCCACACGGCAGATCAACAATAGTGGTGTCATCTCGGACGGTAGGTATCGCTTGCGCGGAATCACAGCACAGACGAATCCTTCACACGTTCATTTACTCTCCAAGCCGACATCATCCACCCCCAGGCGACGACGATTTCAACCGCTTGTACCGCTTAATAAATAGCCGAGACTTTGCGGGACTTTATGTTAGGATCGCTAATTCATCTTCCACCCAGAAACCCTCTGGTATCTTTAAGGAACACGCTGTAAAGGAGTATGGGCCAGGGCACCCCGCGCAAACTATGTGGGTATACGCGGTAAGGATGTTTACTTCTGATGAACAACCTTCAGGAAGAAATACGGTGGAAGGGCAGCTGTGTTTCCAGTTGAATGCCGCATGTATTGGCATTCCAAGTGAACTTCATAAACAGAAAACACGGATAGATAGTTCCACTAAAAAATAGGCTCATACGATGAATTTTGCATAGCTGTTGTCCACTGCATGGAAACGTCGTCGAGTGAACGCACTGATCAGTTTGTTATCAGGCTAACGATGTGTCGACCTCGACAGCGGTTAGCTCTGTGAATTGATGGGGCACGTATTGCTCGCGATACGAACATCAGTCAAGCAATACACCTTGTGACTTGACTTGACTCAAATTGGCCATTTGAAGGACTAGGTATGCAGACTGTCAGATTTGCACCGGACGACACACTGGAGGTCTAACAACTCTATGCATTGCGCCGGATTTATTTTTATGGCGACTGAGGCTGGAACGGCCGGCCGAACAAAGAACCGGTTCGTGACAGAGTAGTACGAAGGATAAACTTAACAGACATCGAAGCCACAATCACAAAACAAGTATGCACAAATATTGAGTCCGAGCGTCATGCCGGAATGGTGTGCTTAAACCGACAAACCACCATTTTCCCAACGTTTCGCATGCAATGAATTAACTACAATGAAGTTACTCATCACTCTGTTCTCCGTCCTAATCTCATTCAACTAGAAGAATTTGCCAGAGTTGTTGCATTTACTACACTGGGAAGTGCTAAGGTTTTTCCGAGGAAACTGCTTCAAGGAGGCTTGCTGGATCAATTCTTTGTTGTTTCTCTGAAGTGCCCTTGTTCTTCGGAGGAAACTGCGGAGTGTGCATACAAATGTATGACCCATATATGCCCATATCAGAATGCTACTTGTCCTCCGTCAAAGGAATGACAGTGAGTTAGTTGGAGGACAATGCCGATATTTATCAGTACCTACGTAGGCGTAGACGATACCTGATGTCACAGACTTAGTAGCATCTGAGGTTCTTTTGAACGACGGGTAGCTAATGGATTACAATGAACGCTTGTATCATGCAACCTCCATGTGACGTTGATTCGTTCCCCTGCAACCACCCTTCATACATGCGCCCTGTGGCACAATGATACACGACACCTAACACAGTGTGCAGCGATCCAGTCCTGAGAAAAGCTTTAGGAATGTTTCTTGAAAATAGCAACAGCACTTGTGTAACGGACTTTCTGGTGCCTCTGCCATCCTGCCGACCATTCAACGACCATGCTTACTATTTCTACGTATAATTCAGCTTGGAGACGTTATCAGCCACACTACCTATCGCTCTCATTTGTCAAGTGAAACCTAGCTTGTGATTAACCACCAATGCTTCGCTTCTACTAACCAACGCATCGTCTTTGGGAATTCTGCGTCACACTATTGGCGATGGAAATATGAAGTACGTGGAAAGTTACACTTCTAAATTCCCCTTCAACTGCTGAGGATTTGTTCGGTAATCACGTTCAGTAAACTTAACAGCACATCACTTTTGTACCTGCGATCACTAGCTCTTTGTAACCGAGCTGATCAAACGTAGTTGTCAATTAAAGTACAGTTGCCTGTTACCACATCCTACATTTCAAACCGATCTTTCGTAGCTGCCTAATCTGGACCCCACATTCTCATCCAAAATCCAGCAGAACTACGACGCGTGCTAAAGTTTTCGACTTATTCACCACTTTCCGTCGCTTATATAACGAACTCCAAGCGAAATTACCCTATTTCTTATGGTTTCTGAATGTAGCTGCACACAAACGCCCCCATAAATTGATCTTAACAACCCGTGCCGCTGGTCTGTTTTGGATACATGGACAACGAGTAATACCATATCTGGGTAACTATTTTTTAGGGTTTTATCGTGACCATTAGCCCACACTACAGTTCTGCTCTTCTTCGGGCGACAGGTCACCTCACAATCAGTATGCAGCCAAGTTTAGCAGGGAAAAGCAACGGTCAGATTCCATCGGTGATTTGCTATAGCTGATTTTAACAAAATTCTATGCATTCTCCGGTGTTACACTAGTATCTTTTGTCGTTACTTGGAAAGAGAGAAACAGTCCTTCGATGTGTCAGGAACGTTATTTTGGAGCTCCGGTTGTGTGTGAATGAATTGCGACCTGCAATCTCAATCTGGACGAAATTTCACTTTGCAGTGATTCTCGGTCGCAGGTGAATTGGATGCATGTTAAAAATTGCTAACTGACAATATGGTAGTTTACGACCAGTTGCCTACAGTTTCTGCTCGTCAGATCAAGGTAGCATGATCGCGGCTCGAAATCAGGACACTGGGATGCCAGCTGAAGCCTCTACATCGTAGTCACCGATCCGGTGACAAGCGTTGCCCACCAAGACTCGGTGACTTAAAGATAGACGCTTCGGGTCGCATTCCAAAGGTTCCGAGTTCGATGCTTGCTACCTCTGCCTGATGCAATCAAATAAGTTCGAAACCGGTCGTGAAATGCGGTGCTTTCGGGTGGGCAGCATCTAACGTTTATGTGGCCTTGAATTGTTTGAAATCTTCCATTTTCTTGAACGTGTCAAAGTTAAATACTGAACTGATAATCTCTCAATGTGGACAGTCGGTACTTTCTTCATACGCCAAGAAAAGTTACCTGACCTTCGATTTTTGTATGGCGAAATATTCCACATTCTCCTGAACAGAAACTAAATAATTTTTCTACGACGACAATACTCATCTGGATTCCACTACTCAAAATCTAAATCTTGAGCCAAATGTTACTTCGCGAATCCTCGTGCGCAGGAGTCTTGAAACTTATGTTGAGTCAGCCCCCATGTAGCAAAATCGAGAATGCATGGTATCTTCCGATCGCGCAACCAATGCTATGTTCAAGCTGTCATAATGGTAAGCGAGATAATTTAAGCGCCTCGTGGTCGGCCGGTGGCCGAAAGTTTTACGCGCTTACAATCCGGAGATCACCGGTTCCAATGCGCGTAAAATATAAATCGTCGGGTGTACGCTGTAACGGCGCGCGACTACCACCAGTCGTGTGCGGGCAGGGTATAACGCAAGGACGCTCACTCCTAAGCGGATTCGAACCGGTGGCTTTATGGTTGCAAACCAGGCGTGTAGACCACCGGCCGAATGCACGTAGATGCGGATGTTCTCATGGTATACTTATCTCAAGCTCAAAGCCTCGTTATGACGTGTCGCCGTACTGCTGATTCCTGTCTGCACTGCGCGGTGGTGTAGAGAGGTTAAGCGCTGTTGTTTTAATGCATTCGTGACCTTTTGGTTAGTTAGAAATGTAGTCAAATGGAAGAATTTAATCAGCGTCAGAATGTTGTGGGTGTGGTCAATGTGATTGGTTAACTCGTAGGGAAAAGAATCCAAGCAACAGCCGACCAGCGAAACCTGGTCAGCACGCAGTTGACAAAACAGAGAGAAATCCCGCGCGAACCGCATCAAGAGAGAAATGATAAAGCCGAATTTAATACTTCAACTGACATGTCAACATGTAGTGAACGGTTTTTGATGGAAACTGACACTTGATCTCTTTAGATGGATACACAACATAAAGTTCATAACCGGTAACTTGCGGAGCAAGATGCCACAAAAGTGGTAACCAGGACAGTACAATATGGGAAGTATGTGAAGCTCAAAAAGCTACTCAGCTTTTACTTGAACGCATGGGTGCGATGTGGTGGAAACAGTTAATGTGCTTGTGTTTGGTTAGTGAGTTGTGCAGCGCTTGGAATATGCCTCCTAATCAGTGACGCCACGCGGTGAAACAGCCACATGAAGGGATGGGAACATGACGCGGGATTTCTTGGGCACCGACGATAGGTGGCTGCATGCTGGGAGTCAATGGCTTTGGTAGTGCAGGTCAACTGTAAATCAGTTTAACAGTCTAACCAAAGAGGGACGCCTATTTACACAGCTGAAGTTGTGCCACGACGAAACGTGGAAGCAGCACGAGACGAAGGCTGTGACTAGGAGCGTATCAAGTGGAGCCCAGAAAGAGGTTTGCAGATGAGGGGCGTCGTAATTACTGGGATCTAGCGCACATTGTCCGATAAACAAATCTTCTCCATTTTTGGTCTCATATTGATGTTGTAACCAGCCAAGGGCAAACATGTTCATCTAACCAAAGCCTTTTGAATATGTGAATGTGGGGAGCTTCCGGGTAGAATTCGCCAACATGACGAAAGCGGTCACATTGAAGGTGGACCGGGTGAGGCTGATATTTGTACAGCGTCTCCTCATGAATCTGGCCATCGGTAAGCGCGAAAGGGCCCTTTCAAAAGATGGAAAGGGATGCCATGAATGAGACCTGTCTTATCGTATTCGAATACCTGCCGACCGCCAGAAAGGCAGCGCCGCGATTTAGAGCGGTTTTGCTTGAGACGGGATTGAGTACTCTCGTTTTCATGATTCACATCAAGAGCTAGATAGTGGCAAATCGCCTGGAATATACAAAGCATTGAGTCAACAATTACTGATATACCAGTTCCTGGGCGGTATCCCGCAGGCGACATAAGTAAGGAGCCGGATTGCAAGCGTCGCCTTGAGAGCACATCTAAATGATCGTACCCAGGCAGCCGCTGGGCTGATTGGCGCGCCAGTAGGTACTTCGGAAATGCAAGACATGAATGTTGTAGAGTCGTTTATTAGGGAAGGAGCATCTAAAGTACACGTCGAATGAGACCACGTACGGCTCCATTCAACTGCGAAGGTTTTTATGGATGTTATGTTGTGCACTTTTTCTGGCTGCCATCAGCGAACATAGCTTTTGAATTTCCTCCCGGTGCATTTCAGTTTACGGCCTCCTGGTGTTCAGCTTGTGTCAGACAGTCGGTTTAGGCCATAGCTTACTCGCCATAGTAGCTTTCATATACCGGTGCACTACTATGCACTTGTAGAAAACATTTATAAAGTATTTCGTTTCTGTCTGAAAAACAGGGCTAGATCCGCGCACTTTATCCCGAAAGTATTCGTTCACCGCTCTGCAGTCCTTTGACTTGTATGTTGTCATAATGCTCGTTACTCCTTTGTTGGAAAGAAATACGAACGATCAGAGAAATAGCATGTGCACAACAGAGCATGTGACAGAAAGTGCCGAAGTGGTACGTTTTCAACTGAGACGTAAATCGACGGTATGCGTCTGTGATAATGGTCTGTTGAATTTTCCGAACAAATGAGGAAGCGTCAGACGTTGCTATATTGGCAGGGACAGTGTAACTTCTTCAAAGTCTTCTATTCAAATCTAAGTGTAGCACTGGAACGTCTACTCCATGCATTGGCGCAAAGTAGTGTCGACGACACGTGTCCTCATCTGTTCTGATCTCACACACATAGGACGCACACGATTCTTGGAACAGACCTTTGTGAATAATCGAAAACAATATGTTTGGTTTGAAGCTGAAGCGTTCACTCCCTGCTCGTTCGGTCTTGTACTAGAAATCTGAATTCACTTCTTAGATAGTAGACTAAGGTTTTAGCATTACCGAGAGCTCAAACAGTATTCCGCACACTGCCCTTTTCTAATGCTTGCAGCAACATAGTACCAAATACTTCTAATCTCTTGGGCAACAAACACAAATGCCATTCAGTGCTCGTCCAGTAAGTAGCGTGTTATTCAACAATGGTAAGTATTATACTGTAGAGTAAGGTGACAAATTTTAAATGTTACTGACTCGTAACGCTTCACTTAGGAGCAGAACTCGAAAATGGATGACAGTACGCAACGCAGCATGGCCAGTGTACAGAGAAGCTCCAGCACAAGAAACTTCGGACAACTACGTAGCCCAACGCAACCACTGCACTCAACTGTTACGAGAAGACAAAGCAGCCTATCAGCAGAACATCCCAAAAGCCTTCAGTGCTAAACACAAACTGCTGTACAAGCACGCTAATAGCCTACGAAAGGTGAGACAAGGATTTCCTCCACTCAAGACGGCTGATGGCTCAACAAGAACGACGGTGGAAGCAGCAAACGCGCTGCAGATGCAATACGCCCCCACGTTTCAAAGGGGCTTGCCACCAAGCGATCTACCAAGCTTTGTCTTCTCCACACCAGCACTAACCCATATCACCTTTACCGTGGACACTGTATTGCAATAACTGACGTCTCTACGCAAACACAGCTCGCCGGGTATCGATACCATTCGTCCAGATGCACTGAAAACAGCAGCATGTCAACTGGCAGGACCTTTAGCTCAGTTTTTCCAGCGCTGCTTAGACCAGAACCAAGTTCCCACCATGTGGAACCTTGGAATAATAACGCCGATTCACAAAGGTGGAAGCAGAACTGATCCCTCCAACTACCGCCCAGTATCCCTTCTTCCTATACTCTCTAAGCTCATGGAATCCATAGTTGCCGATGCACCGGTGTGCTATCAAGAAAACTGCAACATCATCATGCCTGAGTAGCACGGTTTTCGTCGACAGCGGTCATGTACAACGAATGTACTAATTGCACGCAGTAGTTGAACCGAGGCGGCTGACGCGGGAGGAGGTGTTGATGTGATCTACCTGGATTTTTCCAAGGATTTCGATCGTCCAGACCATCAAATACTACTATCCAAGCTGCAGCATTATGGGATCGGCGACCCACTTTTGAGTTGGATCACCAACTTTCTACTTCAATGGCAATTAGTGGTCAGAGTTCGGAACTCTTTATCGGACCCCATACAAGTTGCGTGTGATGTACCGCAAGGCTCAGTTCCAGGTTCACGTTTGTTTTTGGTGTTTATTAATGACCTTGCACAGGGAATCGCTTCAAACATCCTAATGTTTGCCGACGATATCAAGATCTGGCGCAGGAT